AATATAGGTTGGGCAACCTTTCGTATCGTGAATTCGGGAGATGTAGCTTCCGGCTTTGAACATTTCCTTAGTGAGTTCATCGCCACCTGAGGGACATAATGGACTAGGCCTTGAATTAGGCCCATTTAATCAGGTATTGATGAAAACACACACCATCTATTGAGCAAAGTGGGTTGAGCGTTAAAGGCCATGCTCATAATAAACCGACTCATGAGAGTTTCTAGGGGTTAGCCCAGCCCCCCCTAACCACGGCCATCACGGTTCCTCTCACGTAGGTAAGTCCTCAAAGGGTACTACAGTTGTTTAATTAATACCCCCCATAATACACACGTTGGACTTATTAAGAGTAAAACTCAGCCTAGCCAGCTGTATCATAAGAGCATCGTCATCATAGAGAAGGGGTAGTAGCAAATGCTACATAATGATATATAAATATATCTAGGTCAATGCTCCACACGAGTGTCACTAGTCCAGCTTGTTTCTACCACATTGAACCAACATTGGGACTACGTCTCCAAATAAGGGTTGGGTTGCCGCTGTCAGTGACCGAATCCAGAACCACACTCCTGGATAGACCCTTTGTCAAAGGGTCAACAAGATTCTTTTCACAGACTTTATAAAGTCTAGAATCATAATTTTGCCTAGAAGGCGTTGTATTTATTTATCAAGTTCTTATTTTGTAATTAGTCCATCATATTGTTTGAAATTGACATTAGGTCATGGTCTATGATCATAAAAGATCATGGTCTATGTCTGAAGATGTAAACACATAGTGTTTGTGCATATTAGGATTTGACCTTAATATCTGAACATTTCAAACTAATGTGAAACTAAAATTCTGTAGTTATGCATATGCACATACATGAATAAAATTAATAATAGATACATACAGAGCATTCAAGAGAACAATATATTTCATACTTCATAATTCATATGCATAAAATTTTAAAAATTCTTCTATTATAAGAGGTTATAAATTGGTTGCCTACAGAGTAGACCTTCCAAATTTAAATCGGTTGCCTACAAATGAGACCTTCCAAATTTAAATTGGTTGTCTACAAAAAAGACCTTCCAAATTTATGTTACCATTTTCTAGTACCACCTCTTATACAAATAATAATAATAATAATAATATTTGTACATACGTGCTAAAAAGACCTTCCAAATTTATGTTGTCATTTTCTAGTACCACCTCTTATACAAATAATAATAATAATAATATTTGTACATACATGCTTTAAAATTTACAAGTGCATTCTTACATAAAACCTTGTAATTAATCATGTAACAAATGCAAGTTATCTAAAAGGACATATGAACATTTATTGCAATATCCATCATAACGCAATAAAAGAGATGAGCTTTACATTTGAAGATTTGAAATATAATCCACCATATAAAATAGAATTTTAAAAGATGCACCTCTTTGATTTGGTTCGCTCATACATTGATCATTTATCATTAGGCAATATATGATGCAAAAAGCGTAAAATGCATATGATAATTCCGGTCCTCTTATTCCAAACCAAAAACTCTTAAAGTGAAAAGATTAAAGTTTTACCCGGATAGTTAGCCAGGTAAGGATAGTAATAGAGGTTGATCAAAGATCAATTAAGTACCTCGTTCCTTGCAGAGCGCGTTACACAACCCTTAAACCTTGCCTTAGACACCAACTAATCCAAGAAAACTTGAATCGGTTCACTCAATGAGTTTTTGTTTCTTAACAGGATATAAAAACTTTAAAATATTTCCTGCAAGCATTTAATTTGCCAAGCAATTATACTGCAAACATATGTTCGATAAGGCCGAGGAGGGGTTTACCTATTGATGTTCGAACCTCATGATTTTCATGTCTTGAGAGTAAAAACTCATTTGCTGCAGACAACTGCCACACAAGTTATAGAACAAATATGCATTCACTTTTACCACCTTCTGTACTAAGCTTATTAGATGCATAAATACTCCAAAGTATGAAAGTATTGATTGAAGGCATCATATTAATAGCTTAAAGAAATGAAAGCATTAAACCATGAATAAATTCAAATACTTTAGAGCATATATATATCCAGAGTTTGTTCTCTTGTCAAAACCATGTATATGAGACTTTCAATAATAAATATATGTACACTGCTGCAAATTTATAGCATGTTTCTATTAGCAAATAATATTTGATCATTACAAACCTACATATGGTTGTATGTCAGTATATTTCTATGATTGTTTGTCGTTGCAATGCACATGAAACAAAGGTTGAGACAAATAAAGTGAATGATATAAATCAATAGCCAAATTCATAAAAAAATTCTAACTGCTATATAGGATTATATTTTCCTTTCCAATTACAAGTTACAATTAATTGTAATTATTTAAGCAATAATTATCAACAATAATTAAAACTAATTACTGCAATTATAAATCAAATGAACAGTAACCAAAATTGAATTTTTTTAAAAAATAAAACAATAGATAAGCAAGCAATTAGCAATAATTATTTTGCTAAATAGTAACATTTTTTAATGAACAGTAAATGATATCTATTTAATATGAACAGTGAAGTCTTTATTTTCGGAATGAACAGTAATAGCTACAATTTTTTTAAAACTTTATAACAACAAATCAATAATACTAATAGATAAACAAATATATAATTAAAGCAATTATATTTTCTTTGTGCGAACAGTAAGCATAAAAAAAAATTCCTGAAACTTTTTCAGGTGAACAGTAAACTGTTGATGAACAGTAATTTTTATTTTTTTTCAATTTCAAAATTAACAACTATGAATCCTCAATCTTCTAGATTATTGGAAATTTATCAAATAATTAAGATTATAGCATGAAATAAATCCGAATAAAATAAATAATTAAATCTGGCCTGATCGGGAGCAGTCGTGTATTCACTGCCCTAGAAGATTGAGAACCCGTCTATCGTCTTGGCGCAGATGGTTCCCTCCTCCCTAGCAGTAAAAGCCCCCGGAAACGACCGGCATCTGCACTCGGGCGAGAATGCAGAGCTTCAGCTCCGATGAAGGAAGTTGCCCATAAAATAAAACTAATATGTAGATGAAAATAATATGTAGGGGAGAGAAGAAAAACAAGAGAAACTTGTTGTATATTTTTTCTTATCATTTTGAGCTTAATATACGGATATATATATATATGGTTGGAAAAGACGTTACAAAACCCGTAATTAATTCCGTAACGTTCGTTATAAATTTTGTAACGTTCCCCATAATTATATAGCTGTTACACATATTTTTAATTTCTAATTAAAACATGTTTTAATTATAAAATTTTATTACTATTCATGAAGGCAAAATTGTCTTTCCTTAACAAAATATCTAAGAGGTTATTGGGTCAAAATTCATTAATGGATTAGGAAAACATAAAAGAGGGGTAAATTTGCCACTTTACTTCAAACACTTAGGGGGGTTATTAGTTGGGACAAATTGGGACAAGTGAAAAATTATTCCAATAGAACAATTTTACCATTTTGGGATATTTTAAGTGGGATAAAGTGGGATAATGGGATAATTTGAGCCTTTGATTTGATAATTCATGTGCAATAATTAATGATGTGGCACCTTATTAAAATATAATTTTATCTATTAATTACTTCTAAATTAACTCAATTGGTTTAGTATATTATTATAATATAAATATTATTTTACTTTATATTAAAATATAATATATTATACTATACTTACAAATTACTATTATTAATTATTATATTATATTATACTATATTATAATAGCATGTTATACTATATAATAATTAATATAATATAATATCAATATATTTAATATAATATATTAATAATATAATATTTAATATAATACATTATTTTAGTTATACAAATATATAATATGTTATACAATAATTACTAATTAACATTATATTAGTATGCTACATTATATAATAATTGATATAATATATGAATAATATATTTAATATAATATTTTAATAATATATTATTTAATTTAATATATTATAATATAGTATCATAGGATATAATGTACTTTATAAAATATTATAATATTTTACTTTATTCAATGTAATATTTTTTAAAATATTGTATCAAAATTAATATATATATATTACATGATAATCGTAATAATATATATTAAAAGGTATCATGTTATAGTATAATATATTACATAATAGTATTAATATATATTATTAAAATATTAATATATGTTATTATATAATATTATTAAAATGTTAATATATGTTATATTTTATATTTTATGAGTGGTGTTAGGGGCACACCCCAAACCACACTCCCTCTCCCATTCGCTACAGTACTCCGGGCCCCACATGAGTTTTTAAAATTTAAAAACTCATGTGAGGCCCGGAGTACTGTAGCGAATAGGAGAGGGGGTGTGGTTGGAGGTGTGGTTTAAGGTGTGCCCTTATCATTTCTTATTTTATATATCATGTCGTATATTTATAATATAATTAGCATGTATTAGTTCAGTAATACAAAAATATTTTAAAATTATCCCAATTGCCTTCAAAGTGGAACAATATTATTCTAATATGATGGATGGGGTAAATTTTTACTATTAGAACAAAATTTTTGTATATGAGTGGGGTAATTTTATCCCAAATAGTGTAATTATCTCACTAATGTTCCAAAAAGCCAATAACACAAAAAGCATTATCATTGTTCCATTGTCCCAATGAATAACACTATAAAATAAAATCCCCAAAATTATCTCATTATCCCCCTAAATGTCCCAACCAATAACCCCCACTTAGATTCAGCTAAGAGTTCCCTTCCAATCTAACAAGATTTAACTGGACCCCCATGAATTTCCAGCGCAATTCACTACACTGAATAAAGTTGAAATAACGTTATTTACAAGAGTTATTTGAAGGCCTTTCTCGCTAAATTACCTCCCAAAATTTTAACCACTTTTTAGCGGTCGAGATCTCTCGGTGAAACTGAGTAAATGGAGCAGGACTGCCGCAAGAATCGTGCGCGTAGCCTGCAAACTAATAATCAGCAACCACTGCGTTTTTTTTTTTTTGGCACAAAAATAAACATTTTAGACAGGGAAACTAAGCTTCAAAAACTAGAAGCCAAAAAGGGAGATGCTTGGAGCATTACAACAATTTATGATCAAGCTCCAAACTTTTCACAATACAACTACAGAGAAGTTGACCAAAATACGCCCCCTACATCATGATACAACAACATATGAGTTACAAAAAGAGTAACATCAGATGCCAAGTATAAGAGCCAGGACGCAACCAGCACGAGCAATTTCTGGGTGATCTGCAAAAATAGTTCACCTTTCGAAATCAAGCTAAAGACATGACGAAGCCATCACCTTTTCGCGGAGGTTGAACCTTTTAGCTATTATGGGCCGAACATCATCGACCCCAACCAAACTCTCCAAGAAGGGGAGAAGCGAAAGCAATTCCTGATCAGTACGGTCATCAAACCAGCTTTCGATTGGAATCCCATTCTCTAATTGAAACCCAAATGCCTGCAAAATGCAGCAGGATTGATTTAACAGAGGATGTCGAAACAAAACAGAAGACAACGAACATAATTCGTGACCTGCCTCAGTGGTCGAGAATATGAACATGCACTACTAAAAATAGGAGTTTAAATTAAAATTAGAGATAACAATGGATTTTACATGGGAGGACTAGCCCTTTCCATCATTATTTAATCTTTCCCATATAAGCCCAGGAGAGTTGGTCTCCCAAGTCAACAAAAAACTATGAAAACTTGAACAAACGGCTGGTATCTTTAGATGAATCCCCTGTAACTACTGCCAATATTTCCATGGAAAAAAGGATCCCCAATTTCCTATAGATTTTAGGCCGCTTCAAGGACAGGCAAACTTTATAAAGTATTCCGATAAGAAACCATCTAGAAGGGGAAAGACGATAGATTTGCAACATGAAAATACATCCAACTTCAAGTTAAAGAATAAAGCCAAAGGACCATATTATGGTAACTCCAGAATCTGCTTTGTATTGCAATAGCTCAAATGCCTTAATACCTCCATGAATACTTGTAAATTTAAAGAGCTTAAAAATATATCGATAAAAAGTCTGTTATGCTTGTGAATATCTACATGGTTTTTTAATTGCCCTGTATTACACATTAACAATAAACCCAACTTCCAATCAGGAAATTTCCCATCTTAACCCATCCTTCCCGACTCTGTATTGGAAAAAAATTCAAGACTAAATTGATCTAGAACTTTGCAAGGTTGCTCCTTAGTTGCAAGATAAATACTAGGACAATGCCCAAAGGCTTAATCGCTGGTAAATAAGCAGAATTGGTTTATCACCTTATCCATTGTAATATTTGAAGCAATAGCATTTTATAGATCACAATTGGTGGACAAACTTCAGGAAACTCCAAAATTTTGGGATAAAGGCTTTGTTGTCGTTGATGTGGGAAAAGTGTGAGAACTTCTTGGCAAACAACTTCAGATGATAAAGGTAAGAACTTCTTGGCAAACAACTTCTTCAGATGATAAAGGTCTAAAATTAAATGCAAAATGTAAAGTTTCCCACCTAAGAAAATCAGCAAAAACTACAGCAATGCCATCCGAAAACTAAAAAAGCAGTTGATGTTACCTGAGGCGAGTTGTCGATGATGATCACACGCGACAAATCACGGCCAAGGATCGATAAATCCTTCAAGTAATTGCCATCCACATAGACACAAGAGTCACGATAAACACGGTGACGGAATATTCTCCTTTTAGGATCAAGGATGTTGAGAAGCCGTTCAGCATATATACTTTGACTGGCAGTAAATATGATGGTTTCAAATAGGCCAGAAACCCTCTCCATGAAATCCTTAAGGTAAGGACGACATCTAACATAGATTGTGTGCTCTCTGAGATTAAAATTAACTGGAAATGTGAAGTCTGCATCATAGCATGGTTCTAGGGAGGAGTGCACTAATGTCTCTGCCACATTGAGCACAAAGGAAATTAGCAAAAATATATAACTACAGCAGGGAATCATAAAGACACAATAAGATTTACACATGAATATATACACAGACACAAGCGCAGAACAGAGAAAAGAAAGGTCATCTGCACCGTCATAATGATAATTCTGGAAGCATGAAAGAACTAAGAGAATCCAACAAAAGAAAGAGAAATTACAATAAATAAAGATAAAATGATCTGAGCGATATGAAATCGACTACAATAGATTTGCAGTCAGGTTCAATCCAAAGATTAGAAACCACAAGTTTGCATAGTAAAAAAGAAATAAAAAATAAGCCGCTACCCCCATCATTTTTCAACGTGCTTTAGTCGTCAAATCCGTGGTTTCTTTTCCAGAAAATCGACTGAAGGCAAACTCATAACTAAATTTACTGAAGGCAAACTCAAAACTAAAAATTTTAGTTTGTATGAAGATGTAATGAGGAAAATCGAACGTAATTGAGCTTAATTTCATCACTGAAAAGATAAAATACCCTACCTAAAATGTTTAATACGATAAAATAAGCTACACAATGCCTAGGACCAATTTTTCCATAGACCAATAGGGATAATTAAAGTATAAATCATGTATGCACTGATCATAGTTTTTCCTGCTTTCTTAAAGAACAAGAGGAAACTCTCAGGAACCCTATCGCAAGAGATTTACCACAAAACAAGCAGGAAATCACATGAAATCAATTGACGCAGCGCTACAAAATAGCAAATACATCACAAATGTGAAAACATCAAGAGACAAGGCTTTTACTGTCACACAGAATGTCATGTTACTAGCATATGAAATGGTGAATATCATGTGCTAAAATAAATAAGATAATTAACTACAATAATTACCAATGCAAGGTTAAATGCACAATACCATCAAGGTCTAGAACTAGTGTGGTTGAAGGACAACTCCGAGTCTGCTTCGGTAGGAGCACAGGGCGAAATTTTGGAACAACTGCTGACAAATCAGGCAAATCCTTTATAAATGTATATGGATCAAAATCATCAAACTCATCACTGTCATCTGGCTCCACACAATCTTCCGTTGATGTCGAATCTTGACTCTGTTCATCAACACACTCTAATTTAGAGTGCTGCATTGCTAGATATATAGCTGAAACTTCAGACGAGAGGTTACCAACAACGTGATATTTATCATCACAAGCTTTATAAGTGTGATTTAATTCAGTACAAGTGACTCCAACAGCATTATTTTCTGTATCAGAAGTCTCAGATAGCCTATTTGTTGGATCAGTATTCCTGCCAAATTCGTGAGTAAGTGTAACTTCCACTTCTGTTTCCAACGAGTCCAGCTTATTTTCTAATACAACCTTGTTATTCAAGACATCAGCTTTTGATCCCTCGGACCCATGAACTGACTGAACTAACTGGCTACCATGCTTAAGATTTTTCATGGAGTTTACTACACAAAAAAAGGAAAGAAAGAGTTAATACAGCATCCAAACATGTATCTGTGCAGAAATCTAGATGAAACCTAAGATGAACATAGAAGGCCAATAACAAGCGAAAGCAGGAAATAAATATCACTGAAGTGATTGTCATTTAAGAATTTTCATATACAATAAGGCCAGATACGGAGTATGACTCATAAGAGATATCTGCAGAAAGTTTCACAGAGTTTTCATGTAAACCATCTATAAAAATGTTGCCAAATTCATTGCCAATATAACTAGGCAAGAAAGCACCATGGTGCAGGACCTTGAAGGACAATTTTAAAGGAAGGTAAACGTATCTTTTAACTATGCAATTAAAGCACATGCAGCTAAGAACTAAAAGCCTCAAAATTCCCAAAAGTACATTCTAGGCAGAGAAAAGAGATGATTCGATATAGACAATTCACTAATCCAGCACAAAATGAATGAATAGAAAATTCAAATTATAGCCCCAGAAAATTTCAGAATCCACAGAACATATTTTGAACTCACACGTAATTTAGTGCCATGGGTTGCCCCAAAAACCATGCTGAGAAAAGAAAGATGAAAGGAACTATAAAAACATACATATCTCTATGCATCTAAAATCAGCATACTACTGTTCTTGATGGGGAAAAAAAAGTAAAGAACTATATAAATGAGAAAGATAATTAGTAAAATTAAAGGTAAAAAAATTCCAACCACTCAAGTGAAAATAAGAATATAAAGCCCCTAAAGTCATGTTAATATTGAAGTTAATTTCATTAATGTACTAAGATAAAGAAATGTTGAGAATTTCCTGTGAAAACAGATTGGCACGAGAAGCCCCCATATTCTTAAATTTTACTTATGCATCTATGTGGATACAAGCATGGGAAAAGTGTATATATGTGTGAATGTGTGGGTAGGTGCATTTGTGGAGTGGGTGAGCAGTTACTAACACCAACAAAAGCTTGTGGCAATAATATAAATGATTACAATTTTCAATATTTCTTTTAACAACCCCCAACCCCTTGGCGGACCCCTTTTCTCGATGGCGCAAAGCACACATTACTTTTAACAGTTTTCACCAACATGGAGATTCAACTGTAGAAGAATCAAATTCAAAACCTACACACACACATAAATTAAAATACCACGCCAATAGTCATTTCAATTTTCAACCAATAAAAGACTAAGCATTATGGAAGAACAACATATTTTATGCATTTTTATCAAAAAGATAATAATGAAAAGAAAACCTTCCAACACTAAGTCAACTGAAGGTAAAAGCTTTGGAGAAGTATCTTGAGGAGCAAGGATAGAGATAGACAATAGACACGAGCTTTTGAGGCAACAGAAGAATTTAATGAAGAAATGGATGCAAGAGACTGACTATTTGAGGAAAGCTTGTGATGCGGGTTAGTGGTTTCACGATTTGCATCAACTAGATTTTGGTTATGAATCAAATCAGATTTGGATCCTCGAGTTGATGGCTGGGTCGCTCTTTATTTTGGATAACAGACGATGGGGTTTCAGAGTCTTAAATCGATGGAAGTAGAACTCTTCGAGAAAGAAATTTTGAAGACAAGAAAAGGGGAACACAGAAATAGAGCCCTCAAATCAATCAATAGAAATGGATCGGATAGCAAAATGCTTTGAGAAAAATGTTGAGTGCTTTTATATTTCACATCAAAACAAAGTTGAAACTAGCAAAATGACACCAACGCATCAGCAATACAGTGCAGAAAGGTGCATAACTGTTGCAATTCTGAAGTTTAGCCATCAACACAGACACAACGAATAGAAAACAGACCGCACTAGAAAGTTTAGTAACAGCAGAGCAGATAAAAGATACAATATCAAACTAAGTCTGTCAAGTAAAAAATAGAAGACAAACAGTTCACATCTGGTTACGGCTATCAAGAGTATATAACCAGACAAAGGTAAAATTACAAGTGTAACTACTAAACAGCTACAAAATAAATTGTGAATAGTATAGAAATATCCATGAATAAATAATCAACTTGGACTTTAAATCTTAAACACAACACAGCTACAGACTGAATTACATACCTTTATCAGCAACCTCCCCGCAACTGTCTTTAATATGATCCTTAAGATGATGATAGGCAGAAGAAAATATGGTGTCAGATACGCATTCTGTAAGTTTTTCCTCGGACCTCTGCAACAAAAATTAATGAAAAAGGAAAGAATTTGATCAAAGCATTTTTGGAAGAACCAGCAAGCCCTAGAAAGCAACAAATATGAAGTGACATAGAAAGTAGTAAAACAAGTAAAAGAGCGTACAGACATTAGGTACTAGACTTATCAAAGCAAGTGCACCAAGGTACTATACACAACAAATGCTTTTAAAGAAATTTATTGCCGCAATTTTATAGTACTATAAAAAATGGCAGGTTTTCTCCCTCTTTATGTATATGGGCTACAGTTCCAAATTAAATTCAATTAGAAAAGAAGCAATCAAAGTACTAGGGTGTTAAACTTTTTCTTCTTTAGGGGGTGTTATTCGCTCTGGATTGCTGATTTGGACTCGTACAATTGTCCATGAATCTGACATTCTTGGTTTGGGACTTAGACTCGGAATTTATGGTTAGAGCCTCGAACTCTTGGATTGGATTTTGATTTAGAGTAGAATTCTTGAACTTTTGCTTTGGATTAATAGATTGAGGGTGCGATTCTCGGACTAAATTATAGATTCGTGGATTATTAGCATTAAAAGTTTCAAATTAAATTATTAAGTATTAACCAAAAATGAACATCAATTTGAAAACCCTCATTTCGATTAATGGATAACAATGATAAAATTGAATACATCTCGTAATCGATTTAAGCAGGTCAAATGATGCCATATAAAAGAAGATAACTAGTATTCAAGCCCATAAATGAAAATAACTAGCGTTCAAGCATATAAAAGTAAATAACAAGTGGTCAATAATATAAAAACTAATTTGTATATTTAAATATGTAAATAGTAGATATATTTTATATGAAACATTTGACATCAAAATGATCAAATATTTGAAAGATTTAACATTAAATATATTTATTATTTAATATATTAAGATTTTAAATAGTATATATATTTAATATTTATGTACTTAATATATTTAATATATTTATTATTAAGATATATATATTTAACATTTATGTATTTAATATATTTAAATAGTAGATATATTTATTATTTATTATTTAACATATCAAGATTTTAAATAGTATATATATTTAATATTTATGTACTTAATAAATTTCATATCTAGCATTTAAATAAAAATGAAATGTATGTAATATAATATTAAATATTTAAAATATTTATATATTTAAGAAGTTCAATAATAAACATATCTAATTTAATATTTAATATTAAATATACTGAGTAAATAGTATTAAATACATTTCATTTTAAATGAATAAAATAAATTCATAGAAGTTGATTACAAATATTTTAAAATTAAATATATTCAATGTTAATATATAAATAAATTAGAAATATGGAATATTTAAAACTAAATATATTTAATTTGAAATATATTAAATATTTAAATAAGTAAAGAGAAAAGGAGAGAGAAATTTCACAAAGTAAGATCACAATCCACTAATTTTAACTTGGACTTTCTCTTGAAAATTTCTCATTAAAAACTATGGAGTTAGAATGGAATGTGGATTTTAAAATCCTAGTCCTAATAAGTAAACAATCAATAACACATTAAATTCAAATCCTAATCATAGTCCTAAACTAAAAACACGTTAAACTCAAATCCAAATCCTAGTCCTAAACCACCGTAAATTCAAATCTGAATCCTAGTCACTAATAACACCTTAAATTTAAATCTAAATTCTAATTCAAAATGAATAACACCCTAAATTGAAATCCAAGAAAAATTATGAGTATCAATCAACAATACTTACCACTAACCCCC